TCCCACTATAGAAAAGGAATATGTGGGCTTAGATACATAATAAGCATTCATGATTGGTTATCCTGGAGTAAATGTCACATTATGAGGTGATGGAGGAGCAGTGAACGCTCTCACCGCTCGCCGCTTCACCGCGTGGTTTAAGTTTTTTTGCATTGATGAAATGATAGAAACAGGATAAAGGAATCTTTCTATGTTGGACGTGTTTCTGATGGGAGGAGCTGATGGAGTCATGAGGAACCAAATAAGAACTGACATCCATCAGAGCAGAGCTCTCTACATCCTCCGTCTCCAGTGCTCCTTGGTCTTATTTTCATTTGGAGGATTTGGGGGGGGAAATGGAAGAAAGTTTCCATCCCTGCATCACAGCGCTACCTGTTGGATCTATGAACAGTTTTCTATGCTTGAAACCAAACTAGCAGCAATAGTGGAGTTTGGAGATGCAATCTACTCCTTAAATCTATCTTTGCTCTCCTCTAATTTATCCATTTTCTTTTTATAAACTAGGTGAAAATGAAGGAAATATAGAAAGAGGAAAAGTCAGTTAACATGAGCAACATGTGATTAATGGAAATAAAGTTCTTTCCCTTTAAAACCTCAGAATCTTAGAACTCCCAATCCCACTAGAACCTGGGAGTTCTACTGTTAACATGGTGCTGGCTGGCGGCTGGATGGGAGAGAAGACGTGTGGGTGGAGGTTCCCCTCCCTGCTGAAGGACCCCCCCCAAATAAAAAAAAAAGAAAAGATGGAGGCTGTGGACCCATTTATTACAATCAGTTCTTCATGCAGTTTGATCTGCTGCACATTCATGCTCCTATATTCACCCAACAGCAGGATTATAAAGTAATATTATTAATGCCTTTTGTTGTGGAAATCAATATGTAGTTAATAACAGTATTGTATAACAGTATAACATCGCAGACATGGAGTCCAGGTCACGGTAGACGGCGGCATTTCTCCCCATGTTTTGGTGGTCTGAGCGGCTGGTTCTGGTCCAATGTCTCCACTCTGCTTTAACTCTGTGAGCCTCCTCCTTCAGCCTGAGCTCTGCTTGCAGTACTACATGAAGGCGGGGGCCGTCATCCAGGAGGACATCTCTGAGGCGTCAATGATCGTTGGAGTGAAGAGGCCGCCGGAGGAGAAGGTCATCCCCAGGAAAACCTACGCTTTCTTCTCCCACACCATCAAAGCCCAGGAGGCCAACATGGGCCTTTTGGACGACCTGCTGAAGAAGGTGAGTCTGCTTTAAAAACAGGACCTCCTCTGGTCTCCTGCTTCATACAGACTGGATTAATCTCGCAGATTAAAAGTTAGATGGGTGTCTTTAAGGAGCTTGACGTGCCGATTTTAACCAATACTGATTACTTTTTATAACTGAAACTGTCAGATTTATAAAATCCCAAGATATTTCAATCTTCTTTAAAAAAAAAAAATAATCATAGCCTGGAAACAATAGAAACCTCTGAAATAACTGCTGTGGGCTGTTTTTAGACCTTAAAGAGGCGGATCTGATTAGTGAAAAAGCTCTAAGTATCCTAAATGTAGAAGATTGAGGCCGATGGATCTTCTTCAGTTGTCCTCAGATCTGTAGCTTTAGGACTCAGTGTGGCTGATCATGGTTTCCCTTGACTAGAAATATTCTGTTCTGGATTAATTGGAACCCTGGTTAGTTGAGGTCTGGTCCTCTGTGGTTGGTCTGTGGAACAGAGCAGCTGCCGGGTTTGATGCCATACTTTGAACCACAGACATCAGGAACCCATGATTCCTGGTTCAGCTGGTTCCCGGTTCAGATTGGTTCCCGGTTCAGATTGGTTCCTGGTTCAGATTGGTTCCTGGTTCGCCTGCTCGATCAGCTCAATCTGAGCTGCTTTTGACTGTTCTACAGTTTCTAAATGGAGATAAATCTTTTATTACATAACCTGAACCTTTAGCTGATAAACCGTTTTAATGGCTGAAGGTCAGTGATTGGTGATTTATGGAGAACATGGATCAGGACGGTCTTCCCATGTAGCCTCAGTCTGACCCGGTTCTGGCTGTAATGGTCCAGCTGTTAGTTTCTGGTTCCCTCTGCGGATATAAACTGATTTCTGTTCCATTAAAACTCTGAAGTTTGTTTTTCCAGGAAGTCCGTCTGATCGACTACGAGAAGATGGTGGATGCCAACGGTTATCGGATCGTGGCCTTTGGCCAGTGGGCCGGTGTTGCAGGTACGGGACTGCCTTTGACTAAATTGATGGAACAAGTAGAGAACCTTAAGCTGGTTTAAAAGATCAGAACAGAACTGATTCTCTACTGAGAAAAAAGAAATCAGATGAACCCAGATTTGTGTAGAATGTGTTTTTATTGAATTTAGGAAAATATTCCCGTTTGTTGCAGGAATGATCAACATCCTTCACGGACTGGGACTGCGCTTCCTGGCCCTGGGCCACCACACCCCCTTCATGGTGAGAAACCGCGGTGGTCCGATCGCCCTCCCTCTTAAAAAGCTGAGCCACTAACGCCGCTCTGTCGTTCCCAGCACATTGGCATGGCTCACAACTACAGGAATGTCAGCCAGGCCATCCAGGCTGTCAGGGACTGTGGCTACGAGATTTCCATGGGGCTCATGCCCAGATCCATTGGACCCATCACCTTCTGCTTCACGGGGACCGGAAATGTCTCCAAGGTACCAAGAGGCTTCACCACGCATGATCGATCGGTTATCGGGTAGAACCGATTATCCGATCGGTTATCGGGTAAAACCGATTATCTGATCGGTGATCGGGTAGAACCGATTATCCGATCGGTTATCGGGTAGAACGGATGATCCGATCGGTTATCAGGTAAAACCGATTATCCGATCGGCTATCGGGTAGAACGGATGATCCGATCGGTGATCGGGTAGAACCGATTATCTGATCGGTGATCGGGTAGAACGGGTGATCCGATCGGTGATCGGGTAGGGCCGATTATCCGATCGGTTATCAGGTAGAACGGATGATCCGATCGGTTATCGGGTAAAACCGATTATCCGATCGGTGATCGGGTAGAACCGATTATCGGATTTGGTCGGTTACCGGGTAGAACCGATTATCCGATCAGTCGGTTATCGGGAAGAACCGATTAGCCGATCGGTTATCGGGTAGAACCGATAATCCGATGGGTGATCGGGTAGAACCGATTATCCGATTGGTCGGTTATCGGGTAGAACCGATTAGCCGATCGGTCGGTTATCGGGTAGAACCGATTAGCCGATCGGTCGGTTATCGGGTAGAACCGATTAGCCGATCAATCGGTTATCGGGTAGAACCGATTAGCCGATCGGTCGGTTATCGGGTAGAACCGATTAGCCGATCAATCGGTTATCGGGTAGAACCGATTAGCCGATCGGTCGGTTATCGGGTAGAACCGATTAGCCGATCAATCGGTTATCGGGTAGAACCGATTAGCC